ACACGCTCAGTCGTTGCATATTCATGAGGCAGCAGCAAACGTTGGCCGCCTTCTTGTTTGAGTTACTGACGTGGCTTTGATTTAATTGCCTTGATTTTGTCTATAATTTATTTTAAGCCTCATTCCCGACAGACCCACAGATTTCAACGAGCGCCATTTTTTCCGGCACAAAAAGTTCTTTCTTTTTGTCCGAGCAAATAATTCGTTTGACTGCATCCATGTGGAAGTGGTCGTTTCTGATTTTTGTTTTAATGCACACAATGCTACCAAAATGGCCCCAAAAATGTGATCTATTTTAGTGCATTCCACAGTCTGATATAGAACCGTCTCGTGCGTAAAATTGTGCAAGTATTTCCATGGTAGTATTTCAACCTCCTTCCTGTGCGACTTAAACCGCAACAACACATTTTTTGACGCTTTAAAAAGTGTCGGGGGTTACCGCCACGAGCATTTTATTCCCCGTTCACTTTTGTCGCCATTTTGCTGCACGCCAAGACCAAGAGCAAGTGAGAACCCCCCAAGACCAAGAAGAAGTTGTAGTCTCCCAGGCATCGCTCGCACTCTCTCTCTCTCTCTCTCTCTCTCTCTGCTTCGCTCTGTCACACTTTTTCTACCGTTCTCTGTCTCTTGCTTGCAGTCATGTTTCATACTTTTATACAGATTTTTTGTTTTTATTTTGCGTGTAATACTTTTTTTTTGTTAAATTCCGAAAGAGGTGTGCGCATAAATTTTTCGGTGCCCTGCAGGCGAATTCTTTATGCAGAATACTCCGCAGTAGCAGGGAGCGAAAAACTTCCCGAAAAAAAAATGGGGAGGAGCCGAAGAGCAGCAGCGTTCCAAGGGAACTAAATTCAGTTTGGGGCCAGACTGATTGTAATTTCATTTGGCTCCTCTCCGCCCACATCCTTCCATCCTTCCATACTTCCACCCACCCATCAGCCATTACCGATTTTGGTTATTCCATTTTCCAGGCGACAACAAATGTCATTTCCTGTCGCGTCGCCTTGTGATTTGTGACCCGAGAAATCGTAATCGCACTTTATCTATTAGTTACATTTTACCCCGGCCTGGACCTTCTTCCCTTCCCTGTCCTTTTGTCAGAGTCCCTGTCGTCGTCCTTTAATGAAATTTACTCGGGTCGCCCTCCGTTTTCTATTTACTTTTGTGGCACAAAATTAATAAAGGCACAAGGAGGTGGGCCGGCCCCTTCATCGGGCAGCTTCCTTTGGTCCAACGGGAGGAGGGGCCAAGTGGAAACTTAATCCCCAAGGAAATTATGTGAAAAATGTGCGTGGGTTTTGGCTTTTGTCCGGCACTTTCCCTGCTGATGGCTGGGCCGGCGAATGGGGTGGGGGCATGGGGTGAGGGGATGGATCCCTTTTCATTTTCTAAGTTGTTAAGCGGCGAATAGCTGCAAATATTTTTGCTGGCCAACTTAAAACATTCAAACATTCAGCGTAAGGCAGGAAATACGAGCATAAACTGTTGGCAGTTGGCCGTGGCCCGTGGGCGGTGGGCGGTGAGACGGGTCGAATCAACGTGAGAGCAACGTGACCCCTTTTCCGTTTCGGGTTGCCATGTTTAGGGTTTGTCTTTTTTCCATCTCTTCCCCTTTGAATTGGAGGTTCATTTTTAAGCTGCGCAATTATCATTAAGTGGTTGGTCCCTGCCGATGGTCAGTGGCGGCGTTCCTTGAGAGGGTTCGTATAGTTCCATATTGCCAAACTGCCAAAATGTCATTATTGGTATCTAAAATATCCAAGTATTTGTCTATCCCATGCATCTGAGACCCAAAACCTGATGATAGATCCCCCACTATCCCCAACTTCGCCCCTGCCTGGACATCCCCTTTTCCCCTCTCTCTTTATCTTGTATTTTTTTCTTGTGCCTGGTTTTAGGTTCTTTTCTGGCAATTGTGTAAAGGTTGCCGGCAATTTTGTTCAATTTGTATGGGTCTCTCTCTTTTGTGCAGCTCTTCGTGTGGATGTTTTACGGAGCGAATAATTTCCATGCCACGCTGCGTATGAGTTATGCGAGTCCTGCATAATCCAGCCAGCACACACATAAATACATAAATACATATGTATTCACGTTCGGCAGAGAGTTGGTCGCGTTTGATAGATGGATTTGCTTCTTTGCGTGCAGGGGCCCGCAATCAGGACAATTGTATTGGGGCCTTTGTGAGGCGCCTCTGACAGACCAAAAGTGTCAATTACAGACACGGACACACATACTCGTACTCGTACTCGCACTCGCACTCGTACTTGTACTTGTACGATAGGGGCGGGGAGTGACAGAGAAACGGAGATGGAAGTTTGTCCTAATGCTTATGTAAATGTCAGGTCATTGTTTTGCCACAGACATAATGCCGTAATTAGGCAGCAGCATAAGCAATTAATTAGGTTCGTTAATGCGAAACTAAGTCAGAAGTAGAGATGAGTTACATAAAGTTGTCTTGCGTTTAAAGTCGAACCATACGCACACGCAAGCATGCACTGTAGATTCCTCAATGAGAAATCACTACCTATACAGCGATGGAGTATCAATGTACAACATTCAATTCGAAAATGTCGGCAATTAAATAAAGAATTTGCCTTTTCCTGCTCAAAAATATGACTGTATAAAACGTAATCAAAACCCAGCCATCTAGAAAATTACTTGGTTATTCCCTGATTGTGTGTGATAATTAAATATTCGACATTAAGTCTCTGAGCTGCTGCTGGTTTCCGAATGCATCTAAATAATCACCAGGTCACCAGACGGCAGGTCGCCTCTTCCCCACCGTAGTGGGGTCCCCAACACTCCTTTCAACGTCCATTCATCACCTGTGTTTGTATGTGTGCGCGTGTGTGTGTGTATGTACGGAGCGACTGCTGAGTGAGTTCTGTTTTCCGTCTTTATTTCATTTTAATTACATTGCATTTAAATTTTACATTTGCTCGGGGCGAATGATTTTCCCGCCTGCCCCAGGGCCCAGGTAGTCAAATCAGGCGTATGATAAATTGATATGCATTTTCAATACGATTACTCTCACATATATCAGGGATATTCTGAAATATGCATACGTACGTACATATGCGTGCTTATCTGTTCTTTTCGCCCTACAATAGATATTAATAAAGTTTAATGCATAAATTCTCTTTACTTGAATTATTCTTAATTACACACCCGCCCACAAAATCCTGAGAAAGTGGCTTGCAAAATCATTTCAAGAGAAAACAAACCAAAACCTTCTGGTTTCAGTGGCGAACTGCTTGAACCAAAGCTTCAGGTTTAGGTGATGAACTGCTTGTAGGATCAGTTCAAGCGAGAACGAACCAAACCTTCAGGTTTCACTGGCGTACTGCTTGAACCAAAGCTTCAGGTTTAGGTGATGAACTGCTTGCAGGATCAGTTCAAGCGAGAACGAACCAAACCTTCAGGTTTCACTGGCATACTGGTTGAACCAAAGCTTCAGGTTTAGTGGATGAACTGCATGCAGGATAAGTTCAAGCGAAAACAAACCAAACCTTCAGGTTTTAGAAAAGGAACCAAACATTCAGGTCTAGTCGATCGACGGCTTGATCGAAGCATTTTCCAGTATGTTTCCCCAGGTCTAGCTGATAAATATTCAATATTTATTTAATATTAAAACCTATCTCTCAAGAATTTTTCAATCAAATCATCCAGATTTTATTCTTTTCTTAAACCTTCTCGTGGTAGTAAAAATAGCAAACATACATATGTGGAAAAATTGAAATTTTAATTAAACTTCAACTGAGAGTTAAAGCTATGGTCGAAACGAACGGTGGATGGGGAGCGGGCTTCGTTTATCCAGAAACCAAAAACCAGCCGCAGAGCAGCGAACCGTCGACCGCCGAAACATTTCAAAGACAAGCCACCAACAGCAGCAACATCGACAACATCCACAACATCCACAACACATCCTCACGCCAGCATTGGAGAGGATGACGACAATGGATTAACTCAAACCTGTAACTGCCTGACCGCACAGACACTGAGGGGGAAAGGAAGAGAGTGGGAGACAGAGTGGGAGCCACGAGTGGGTCCAGTTGATGGCCACATGTCACAGACATTATGGAATCATGAACTTACATATGTGCACCTGAATGTGTTCGTGCGGGCGCGAGGGGCAGGAGTAGACTCCATTTTGCGGTGGCGAACAGCGATTGCGGTCTGATTGGAGATGGTTTCGTGATGGCATTCCAAGGTGTTCCGGGCTCAGTTGCGCGTGTAATTCTCAAAACTAATTATTGAATGGAACTGTTAGCGGTAGTAGATCCTTCTTGAGATATGGTATGAGAGCTCCTCACGATGCCATAACTAAGACCCCCAGACACATGGCATTTCAATCATCAATCAAAGTGTTTTGTTACGACTTTCATGCGTCATGTTCATGCCTCGCTGCTAGCCCAGACCCATTTCATTCTCTTTCTTGTACGTGGAGTAACTGCCTCACAGCCTGGTCATGTGTGTAGGTGTGACACTGTGACACAGCAGACGACATTTATGGTGTCGCCGAGAAGGATTCGCATCAGAGAGCCGACAGACAATCAATCACATGCTCGAAATCAATTGCGGAATTCTCGAAACGAGCCCCGGTCCTCGTTTTCAATTTCATTTTGCTAAATATTTATGAGGCTAGCAGCTTCTTCCGCCTACTCTCGATTTGTAATCCTAATGAGGCGTAATTAGAAAAACATTCGATTCCGTTTCAATCGTATCAATCAAAAGGCCATAGCGCTTTTTATCAGCCCGTCGCCCCCCCGGTCCCCCCCGCCCACTGTTTGACCATTTTAACGAAACTTTAACAAACTTAAGTTTCAATTTTCTAGCGCATTATTGGTAATCCCTCTAATCCTCCGCCTCTTTTTTTGTTTTGTTTGTCGTTCTTGATTGCTGCTTAAACTTTTCTCACTTTTCATCGCCCCCACTTGTTTGTGATTAAGCTTTATTGTAAAGAGCTTTTTGTGCGCCTTTTGATTTATAGATATTGGATCATGCCACACCTCCACCCTACTCCCAGTCCCAGTACCAGTCCCAAACCCCTACCTATGCCCATGACTCCTCCTCCTGTGGGACACTTTGTATATGGAGTGTCGGGCACGGAGTCCATGCGCTCGATAAGCTGCTATGGAAGTACAGTATTCAGAGGAGTTTCTGAACTCAAGCTGGGACCTTATCAGCGTATTCGCTATTCGGTGTAGTCCCTATTTCGGTTCTGCGAATTCTGTTTGCGCCTTTATTGCATACTTTTAGGCGCACCCGAAGTTGTTTACTGCCAAACGCCAGACCACCCTTCCGTCCTTGACAGCCGCACAATTTGCTGCTGCGTTTTTTCTCCGAGCCCTCGTACGAGCACGAGGGTACGAGTATCTCTCAGGGCTTGTTTGTCTGCTTCTCTTTGAGGGCCCGGGTTCTCTCTCTCGCCTGCCGCCCTTTGTCGGTGGCAAAAAGTTTGTGCACTGATTGCAAACTTGTTTCAATTGTTTCGCAGACCAAACCGAAGAACTGGACTGGACTGAAGGTTCGAGGTCGAGTCGGGGCAGGGCAGAGCAGAGCAGAGCTCTGGGTCTGGGTCTGGCTGGGCATCGGCATCCGCCATGAAAGTCAAGGCAAAAGTCGAGCGGCAAGAGCAGCGAGCACTTGCATATTTCTGTGGCTTAGTTTCCGTTTCACAAACGAAATGAAATGAAACGAACGGCATAAAAACCCATTGAAAATTTGCATACGAAAATGAAATTCAAATAGGTTTTCCATGTCCCTCACAATCAGTTTTCCGGATGAGACCAAGCCACACAAAGAATAGAGGAAACTTTCGCTTTTGCTTTCCGTTACTCCTGCGGACTGTGGTTGTTGCTGCCAATGCTGCTGTTGCCAATGCTGCTTTAAGCCCGATATTTATGATCTCATATTATGCTGAGGGGATATTTCATATTTGTAGCCCAATCTTCCCTTTTTGACATGGCTATTTTAATCTCAATCTTTTGACAGGACTTGTTTGCCAAAAGCCCCGCTTGGGCTTCTATGACGCCTGTTATCAGCGGAAAACGAATTGAATGCGAAGTAGTTTTTCATTGAACGTTTCGCCAGGACTTTGAAATGCAAATTTATCCAGTTTGGTCCTTTGTCTCTCTCTGTCGTACTCCTTCTTCCTGCCTGGAGGCTGGAGGTCTGGGTTACAGACACTCGAGCGGCTCGAAAGCTAATAAAATGCAAATTTTTCATCGCGTAAACAAAGTAGACGATGTCTAGAGGTGGAATTTGCAGGGTGGGAATATCGTATATCGCACCAATACTCACCTTGGGTCCCCAATTCGATCAGAATTACAATGGATAATGGCATTTCTAATTAATGTTTAAGCCTCTTCAATCTCCTACTCGTCGCTTGGCCCAGCCTCTGGAGCGTCTCCCATCTCTAATTGTCGATGAAAGCCGAATCCCCAATTCATTTCCATCAAAATCGGCTTCAGATTCGACTTTGGGCCTCGGACACTGGGAGGCACTCAACAGCCAGGCCAGCCATTGATTTAATGGTAAGCTGTTGAATTTTGATGGCTTTTAATTGTCTTAAGACCAGTCGTAGTTCAGCAAAAATCCAATCAGGACTCCTTTGATAGAGGCGTTGCGGAGAGGGTGTTGAGTGTGGAGAGTGGAGAGGGGAGAGGAGAGACGTACTGTTGTCAGCACAATAGTTTGGAATTCCACTTAATGCTGACTACTGACCCACTTATTGGTCACTTCTGTGGCAATGTTTCCGCTGGCCCGTCCACCGCTGCCAGGGGCTTCAGGCCACCCAAAAACCACTTGACTAAACAGCACTCAAATTTGATTTTGATTTATGCTCTGCTGCTGCTTCTCCATTCTCCCTCTCTTTGTCTTTCCCATCCTCATCCATTCCCATGCTCTTGGCCATCTCTGGGCCCTTCATCCGGGGCCAACTACAATTGCAGGCTCATAACTTTGGCATCTATCGTCCTTTCATTCGTTCCTTTCATATTTACATGCTTCTTACACGCGCATTGGCGTGTAACGGAAATTGAGAAGAGCTCCTTGAACGGGGCCCCTCTCTCCTTCGCTCCCTCTATCGCTTTCTCTTTCAATCTTTCACCAAAAGGGTTGTCCGAAAAGGTTGCCACTACCCACTATCCCCCAACCCTCAACCCCGAAAACCCCAAACCAATAGAAAGCTTATGGAGCAAACGTTTTTGGTATTTTATATTTTTTTTTGTTTTCCGACTGCATCCTTTGGCCAAGACACGGACACTCCAACTCCGACTCCAGCCCCCTCTAAACCCCCTCAAAACACTCACAATGGAAAATACAATTTTCGCAATCTTTGCTTATCTTTTCATCTCTCTCTGTGGCTGCTTTTGCTGCTGCCTCGTTGCTTGTTGCATGATTCGCTGTTGCTGCTGCTGTTGTTGTTGGCCAACCAGAAAATCGGTAAAAAGCTAAGGCAACTGGAAAAGAGGGTAGGGCAGGGGGTAGGGCTTGGGTCCTGCGGGTGGGGAAATATCCTTTGTTTGTCGGCATTGCCGGTAATGCCAAGTTGTTGCAGTAAGCACATAAGCATCAGTTATGAGCGAGAGTTGCTTCAAGGGTTTCTCCCTATTCAGTGGAATGAGAAATAGTAGGATCGGATTTGAGGAGTAAGCAAATCGTGGAATTATTGGTATTATTTATGGATAATAGCACATATGCACCATGTACAAACAAAGACCCATCAATTCCAATGGTACACGATTTGTGTGGGCTGGCTTTTGAGCTGGCTCCAGGCCCTCTTAAAGCTCTCTTAAGTCCAAAGAGAAAGCCAAACGTACTTACGCAATGGAGTCGGAATAGTCTTGTCTGTTCTGCAATCTTTGAGCTTTTACTTACTTATATTTTAGGCCCTAGTCACAGTTATTATTTTAATCTTACACATACAAATACCGTCACGGATCGATAAATATATACCCTTATTGACACTGCCTCTAATTTCCTAAAATTACCCACGCATTATCATCTGGCAAAAGCTTTGATTGGAAAAGCCCTGGATACCGCACCTGGAATGGGATATCATTTCCATTTTTTACCATTCTATTTTGAGAATTTTGTAAATTGTTTTTTCCTATGAACTTATGGAGCCACCCTCATTCGGCCTCTTCTTCTGCCCTTTGTATTTCTTATTGCTTTTCCGGGTTTTATTGTTGTCATAATGTGGTGGCTTGTTGCTGTTCTTCTCTCTCTCTCTCTCTCTCTCTCTCTCGTTGGCCCCGTAACACCTTCCTTCTCTTTTCCTTACTCCCTCTCCATATATATGTATATCTCTGTGTCTTGTACTGCTTTAGAACTATTGCCAGTATTGACTACTCCGCTTGTTCTTTCCACCTGCGCCCATCCGCCCCATGGACCCATGGACCCATGCTCATCTCTTTTTCTTTTCATTTCTGCATTTTTTTTACTGCTTAATGCCGGGACATGGACACAGAACACCAGCATGCGACGGGTGGATGCAGTCCACTCCACTCCAATCCGCTGCAAGGATCCAACAGTTTATGCTACCTTTTTGTCTTCTCGGCATACCATACCGCTCGGCATTCGCTCCCGCCAGCTCAACCATTTTGCCAGGCTTCTTTGCTGCATTTTTTATGGGCAACACACAAAGGTGTATTTTACTTGCCATAAGCAAGGATTGCATACATTGTTTCCTGCATAGTCCTTGTATCCTGGCTGATGTTCTTGTTTCTCGGTTTCTTGGTTTATGCGTCAAATGAGGATATTCAATTTGAGCTTGATATGCATTTTATTATTTGCCGGAGCAGCAACGCGAGGGGTCAGGCAGGGGGGATTGAAAATCAAAGCAATCATCATGCGCCTGAATGGATCCAACGGGGAGTCTGAGACTCGATTACATATTTACTCGAGTTACACCTGCAATATTCTTATGATTCATAGGGCGGCTCACGTCTTGACTGCAGCAGTTTTCTCCAGGATCTCCGGTATCTCAAATGCCTTCGTCTAACAATACGCACGCAATTACCGCACGACCGCAGGGGGAGGGGGCAGGAGGGCAGGACGGCAGGAGAGACAGGGTCCATGGGCGAAGAAAACTTCAACTCCCCAATGCTTGACGAAAGTTTCACAGTTGTCCTGATGATGATGATGGCGATGGCGCCGGGGCCACAAACTTTTGCAGGGCTCTAATTGCCCAAGTGGCTTTCGAGAGCAGCGTCGTCGCCACGTAATGGAGAAAGGAGACCGAAACTTTTTCCCCAATTCGACAACATCTGCTCCATCTTCAGATCGTGCTCCTCTAGGGCTCCTTCAGCAGTCCTTCTCCTGTAGTGCTCCTCCCACACTTTTATTTCACTCACAAAATGCACAATCAAAGCTGACCGTTGGCGTTATTAACACAAATGAAAATTGTGCAACATACACACACACACACACACCCACGGACTTATAGCCGTACCTGTACCCGTACCCGTATATCTCCCTGCCTGTTACTTATATTTCAATTTATTAGATGGTCAACTTTTGTAGCGGGAAGTTACCGGAGGTGCAGGGGCAAGAGCAGGAGCAGGAGGCCAGGCCAGGCCAGGCCACTTGCCCTAATGAAGTTCTGGATTACAGAGAGATGCGAGATGCAATCAGAGAAACTTCCTCACATATGTATGTGTGTAGGTATGCATTCACCTTCGTATCCCCATAAAAGTTGCACCCGGTCAAAGGCCAAGACCGGCTCCTCTTTATGCATATTTACATTTTACCGGCACTTAACCCCCTGGATCTTGCATAAGCTGAGTCCGAAAACGAAAGGAGTACGGATATGGCCAAGAGAGGAAGTACATACGTACCAAGGGTAATGTGCAAAGGTCCCTAAAATGGGAGGATATTCTGGTCTCTTGGGTGCTGCAATTATTTGTTGTAATTTACTTTTGTGAATACGGTCTTAACTAATAATTGATGGACAGTGTCGCTTAGTATTTGTCAGGGGGCTATTTATTTGTGGCACCTGGAAGTGGCAAAGTCAAGCCAATTGGCGAGATCAAAGAGAGTGACAGGCAAGACTGCGGCAAGCGTCGGAAAAGTATTGAAATTCCACAAGATCTGGCTGTTTCAACATTTGGATTTGTTGAAGGTTGCTACCATTTGAAGGATACCAAGACGCTGCTACATCCTTTAGTACTAAGACATGTTACACGATTCGGACAAGCCTGGGAAACCAAAAATTCTATGAGAGTTTCTTGTGGGTTCATCAGAGTTCAAGCGAATCACTGCAGTACTGCAACTTGGGCCTAACCGCAAGCAATAACTAGCCAGCAATCCTTCTGCTAGCTGGGAAAAGCATCCACAAGCAAGGACAAAATTGAACCTCAAAATAATTTCCGCTGTGTATGGGACATGGGACCCTCAAAACATTTCATTTTAAAATGGAGACAGAACCAACCATCAGAAGCAATATTCAACAGCTTGCCGTTAATTTGCGAGGCGTCAGCAGCAGATAGAGAAGGACCCAAAGGAGAGAAGGACTCCCCAGTGGACCTTCCCCACTTCACTGACCGATTGCCCCATTTCCGCAATCATTGGCTTCATCAATAGCAGAGACAATTTCTGATCTGACGAAGGAATTCAATCTTGTCGCGTGCTAATGCCCCCCACATTGAATTTTTAATTTAATTTAGCTGTAAGCAGACAGCAGCACACACCCGAAAGGAAATGTGGTGGAGCGAGGCGAAAGCTTACAGAAAAACCAATTTGTTTTATTAAACTCTTGGCGTTGATTTTTGCATAGAAATTGTCTAATCAAAAACAAATTTCATTTGAATAGTGTTTGATGTCGCGACGTGACTGGCTTTCGTGTCCTCCGAAGACCCTCCCTATGAGATCGTTGCCAGGTGATAGCCAATAACGAAAGGGAGGAGCAGAGAGAGGGGGGCGTACGCGTAAGACTCTCCAATCTTTTGAAGGTTCAAAGTTTTACCGTCGCCGCAAAACCCACCAGCTCTCACACCTCCTCCTTCTGGGCAATGGCAACCGCAAGCGGCAAGAATTATGCTATTAAATATATTTTTTTCAATTAGCCCCCGTCTCGCCATGGCCGTCACGTCCTTTCGGTTGTCTGTCAAAATATATGTACACAATTTGGTTTTTTTTTTGTTTTTTTTTGGCGTAAGCATCATTATTAAAAAGGCCGCACGCTGCGTGCAATTTCATTTTGGCCCCAGACCAGACCAGACCCTAATTAGACGGCGACCCAAGACAAGAGAATCGGGGGAAGGCAACAGTCAAAAAAATTGGAGAGTTTATACGATGCAAACAAATTTTAATTAGAAACCGCAAAATTAACTGGAGAAAAAGTGCCGAAATGTGAGAAAGTTGAACCGCAAAATGTTGCCAAATTATGCGGTTGCACTTGTTCTCCCCTCCTCCTCATTCAAAAAAGAAAGTTTAAATTAAATTTTCCCGTTTTCGGGTTAAAGTAAAGATGCTCATTGAATTTCCATCAAAATTCAAGGCAGATATGCATATTAATATCCAGTAAAAAAAATCTCATAAAAATAACATAACATTGCAGCATGGTTTTTTCGGACTCGCTGCCACACGTTGCCAGATTGCCACATTGCCACATTGAATATTCATTGTTAATTGAGCTGTAAAAAATGTGACGCTTACAGGCCCTTAATTGTTTACTAGCAAATATCTTTGGGCCACGGACAGAACTATTAATTGGAGCAATCTTCAGTCACAAAGCTTGACAATCACGGCACCAGTGCGAGAGTATTTTCCTCTGCTTTTCAGCCCCATTCAATTCCATGGCTGTTTGGTACCGAGGCTGTTTGCCATATAAATACCAGCGGGTAAACATTTCTCGCCCATTTATATCCATCAACTGCCAATAAATCATTACAAAAAATCGTTTTGTGCTAAAAAATATATATATATGTTGGTATGTATGTGTGTGTGTGTGTGTGTGTGTGAGCCATTAGTCATGCGAGTGTATTTTTCGGGGGCAGGGGGGTCTTTTGGAAATCCCGCAAACAACAAGAACAAGAATTGTTCAATATTTGCCAACAAGCATTTTTTGGTAATGTTTCAATTAACTTGAGCAAAAATATTTATGAGTCTCTGCCCTGCCCCATAAAACGTTGTTGTTGGGAATAAAAACGCATTGAACGAGCCGCACACTCCGTCTCCCTCCTGCCCATGTATCAGGCTCTCTCCTTCCTGCTGTTGCCACTCTTTTACTGCCATAAACCGACAACATAATTTGCGTCTATTTGAAGCGTAGCATACTTTTTAGCGCGCACACACACAGGCACACAAAAGCAATCAAGTGTCGCAGGAAACAAAACACACAAAATGGGAGAGTCTCGCTCGAGATCGAGTGAGAGGTCGTTGGGCAACGGAAGCTTATGCGTGACAAGCAACAAAAACATCGGCAAAAATTTCGTTAATGTCGCTGTTCCGTT